TTATTCTGGGCCAGCTTTAGCTCTGGCTCTAGCTCTGAGGCTTCCGCTGCTATAATCGAAACAATGTATAACTCTAGCTCTGAGATCCCGGCTGGCTGAAAGCTGGTTTCTGGGGTTTTGTTTAGCTTCTATATTTGCAACATAGTTTCTTAGAGTAGCAGCTCAGAGGCCGGCAAGTCAGGCGGGGAACGTTGCAGTCTGCAGTCACTGGAGCAAGCAAGCCTCATGTTCGCTTCCAGCAGCCTGGCTGCCGGCCGCCATCTTGGCTGACAGTTAATTTGCATAAGGATATGCTGATTAGCCAATGGGAAGGGTAGCAGTCGTACGCTAATTACCATGTTTCTCTTTTATTAGTGTAGATATTTAAATGCCATTTAACACAGAAAAATCAACCAAAAAAATGAGTTTGCGTGTCACCTCTGACACGCGTGTCATAGGTTCGCCATCGCTGGCATAGGCGGCCCTGTCCAGGTTCCTGCAGAGGCGTGGTGTGGACGTCCACCCACAGGCATGTGCGTGCTGGGGATTTTCTTCTCACTGATGCTCTTTCAGCACCTGACCGCTGTGCTTAGTGAGCGAGGACAGCCGTGGTCACAGACACGGAGGGTGCGGGCCGGAAGGACAGGCTCCTGAGTGCAGCGTCTGCTCCTGGCTCCAGTGCAGGGGAAATGCTTTGGACTTTCCTGTAACTCTTGTTCTCCTCTCATGGTTTGGGGTACTTTTTCTAGATAATTTCTTAAGGGTCACTCGGAAAGCCTTCACTTTGGGATAATAAAATAAATGAGCAGTTTCCGTGAATGGCCTGCCCGGCGAGAATAGAGCTGACCGTGACGAGGTCAAGCCCTCACCGCGCTTGACCTGTTCAGGAGCTAACACTGAACAGTGGGTCCCTGGACCCTCGAGACCCCCGGGCAGGAGCTAGGGCTGTCCCCTCTGCACACAGCACAGACAGTGAGCGAGTTCCAGGGCCTTAGCACGCCAGGCGATCCTTGTCAGGGTGCAGGCACAGGCAGTTAGGGCTGCGAGGTGAGTCCTGGGGGCGTTGCTGTATTCCCATTAGAGGCGGGGCCAGCCTGCCTTTGGTCATCCCCCTGGTGGGCAGCCCTGGCTGCAGCCTCAGCCCCTGCCTATGGCCCAGCCCCTGAGTGTCTCTTTCAGGTGAGGGCCGGCTCCAAGGTGTTTGGGGCAGAACAGGGGACCGACCATACCCACCTCTTTCTTTTCTCTTCAGTCCCAGGCTGCCATCCCACTGAGGTGAGACCTGCACCCTCATTGGTTGGTAGTTGAAGAAGGAGCCCCAGCGGAAGGGGTGGCGACATGCACTTGGTCATGACACCTGGGCCTCAGCTTCCTACCTGTCACATGGGATGCCCCCCTCCACCTTCCAGAGTACAATGGGGCTTCAGGGACATGTGGGACCAGCAGCAATGCGTGGGGACCTGTCCTGGTGACCAGGGCTGAGGACCACCCACTGGGCGGTTGTATTTTAAGGTGTTGATAGCCTTCCTTTTGACTGACCTGGAACTCAACCCTCATGCCGCCTTCGGGTGAGGGTGGTGCATAGAGGCCTGGTGGCCGAGCCTGTGCTCTCCTTGTAGGCCCCAGGCTCCTGTGGCTGGGACAGACAAGGGTACGTGATAGTCATGGGTGTGTATGGTCCCTGCTGGGTTGGAGCAGACGCATCAGGGAGGTGGGCTGTCCAAAGTGTCTGTCTGCTTTAGGAACTGCCAGTGAGAAGAAGCCTGGAGCCACTGTCAGGTATGAACTCGAGATAGGGACCCAGGTGTGGATGCAGCGTGTAGACTTGGGGTGTGGAGGTGGGGTGTGGACAGGGGATGTGGATTTAGGGAAGGACTGGGTTATGGACTCAGGATGTGGACCTGAAATGTAGACTCAGGATTGGATACAGGATGTGGATGTGGGATGTGAACTCAAGGTGTGGACCTGGGGCGTGTACAAGGGCGTGGGATTTATTTGGATGTGGGCGTGGGGTGTGGATTCTGTGTCCAGTCTCTGGACCCGGCTGATCCCAACCAGGTGCAGGACTCTGCTCTGCCTCTGGCTCTGGCCCGTGGGTCTTGGTGGATGTGGGCTATGGGAGCTGACGGCATGTGCAGCCATCTCCATCCCTGTGGTCACTTGTATCAAGAGGCCACCTGATGAATGAGCAGAGGCCGGCCGGCCCAGGTCGGTGCTGTGGAGACAGACCAGCACAGCAGTGGCCTGGCTGCGGTTGCCCTCCTCACCGTGCCTTTGCCAACATGGGGTGTCACCAGTGTGATGTATTTGGTTGTGGCAGTTTGTGAGGTGAACATCATGTGGTGTGATTGCGGTGCGCCTTCCGCGGGTTGGTGAGGGCGCCTGTCTACACGGTAGCCGGGTGCCTATTCTGTTCTGGCTCTGCCCTGTCTTCTGTGGGAGAGGCCCTTCGTTCCTGGAGGAAGGGTAGAAACACGGGTAGAAACACTTGGCTGTGTATGTAAATGTTTATCTTTTGCCCTTGAAAGTTTGTCTTCATGATGT